GTGATATTGACATAAATTCACTAGAACGAATTGGTTTAGGATATTTTCTACTATTCATGCAATAACATCTTTTCTCAGTTTTTAAATTGCCAATTAAACGTAAAGCATAGCCAAAACTCAACTCTGAACTACTTGGATAATTATTAACAGAACCACATTCAGATGCTCTACTTAAAATGGAATTTTTAATATTTGCAGTCTTTAATGAAAATATAAAATTTTCTTTGGTCCTTTTCCTTTGATCATTATTCTTTTCCCACTCAAGAGAATTATACCCTCCAAGAATTTCTCCAGTACCTTCAAGCTTTAAAATAATAATTGTTTTAGATACTTTATCACAAATATTAAAAATAGTTTTAACGTCAAACCCATCTCTAGATCCTCTAACAAGTAATTTAAATTCATAGGGATTATTTTCAATATATGGAATTTCTTTTTTATCAATCCATGATGAAATTTCTAATGCATTTTCATTAGTGATAATATTAGAATAAAGAGTAAGTCTTGCTGGGAGTGTTACATTTAAAATCTTTCGAGGTGGTAACACAATCGAAGAAATTGGCTTAGCCGGTGTTCTAAGTTTTACATTGATATCTGAAAAAAGTTGGTGTTCAAAAAGTTGTTGATATGGATAAATCTTTTCAACTACATCTTTTTCAGAAATACTAAAATACCTAATGTGTGAGAGACATTCTTTCAAAGTTTCTTTTAAGGTTATGAAATTATCACTCGTCCATTTATCGAGATTAGTAGGTAAAGTGGGATTTTTTGCTTTTCCCCATTCAATTACATATTCCCAAATTTTACTTTCTTCTAATTGTAAGTTATCCTGTTTAAGAATAGAAACTAATGCATCTTCAGGGAGTGAATGAAAACTTTCAGACCCAAAGATAGTATTGGGATGCTTGGTAATAATATTATTACAAAAGTCTTGAATGATTTTAAAATTTTTGATTTGATAACTTGCTCGATAAATTTTTGAGAATTTTAGCTTTAACCACGAAGCATTATTATTGACAAGATGAGATTGGAGATGTTCAACTAATTCATCTAATTCAAGTTCATTAGAAGCAATCAAAAGGTCAAAGATAACTGAATTTTCCAATTTTTCTAACGAAATTTTTCCACTATAAATATATCTAAATAATATATGAAATTTATTAATTATTAAAAATTATAATTAAAATAATTTTTTTTAAATAAATTTATAATTATTATTTTCTATAAAATGAACTTACTTGACAATAACATTAAATACTATACCAGAAATATTTGGCAACTTTAATACTCTGACATGATTTTCATTGTAAATAATTTCGTCGAATTTCTTTTTAAAGTAAGTACTACGAAATTGCAAAATAATCGAGTGAACTTTATAAATTTCGATTAAAGGAACTTCTTCTCCAACTTCAATTGAGATATCATAATTAACACCACTTTCAAGAAGTTGAGTAAGGTCGTTTGATAGACGGTCATAAAATTGAATAGTCATTTCTTTCACAAATAAGAATAAGTACAAAATAGAAATTTAATCTTTTATATATAGTTTGTGCATTAAATTACCCAATCATTTATTGAGAATTTTGTACAAGGTGAAGTGTAATACCTATATGAAATCATAACAAGTTTTAATTTTTTTAAAAAAAAAATTTTTACCAAAAAAATTTATAACTATTGCGGTTATTTATGTTATTTATCAAGTTATAGTTATAGTATAAAAACTAAAATTAATAAATATTTTATTAATGTTTATTTATAGAGCACCTCTCTTAATTTTTCTAAATGACAGTTTGAATTCTTAATTTATTTACATATGTTAAATAAAGAAGCTTGAATTTTATTTCAACATATTAAAAAAAATCTTTTGACTAAGTAAATGCGTCGCACTAGAACGTCAACGTATAAAATTCCCAACATAATACGTATTCTTAAACGTTTTCTTGAGAACTGAACAAATAAAGTAATGACAAGAAGTGGGTTCCAAAAACAGATGACGAGTCACAAGATGGGATGAGATGAAATATTTTGCATACAGATATTGCATACAGTTATTGCATGCATACTAAATTTCAGCTAAAGTTTCAAGAAAACGTGGTAATGTTTTACCGTGAGAATAATTTTTTTTAATATAATGAAGAAATAAATTCAATTTCCCTTTCACTTATTACTCTTTCTCTCTCCTTCATTTTTGGTTAAATTTAGTTAGTTTAGTATGTGGAGTGTCTAAAATCAGAATTTATACTTTATTATTTTTGGTGCATTGCATTCAATTTTACAATCAATAATATTATGTGTGATCTGCATTTGAAAAAATGAGGAATTTAGAAGTATCAGATACATATGTCATAGAAAGTACTTAAATATATATTTTAACTTTAAAGGGTTACGTACGATATCTACATTTATACGCTTAATTCATTTTGGCTGATTCATTCTTTTATTCTTTTCTACTCTAGTTGTTTGTAGGTTATAAATCCTCGTATGACGTGCAGATCACATTATCCCATCGTCTTTTAGCGCCAAAAGTTATCCAGGGATGTTTTTCGCTGAAATTATCATGTGCCAATTGTGGTAATGTCCGTCGGATTCAATGGATATTAATAATATCTACCAACTATCTTTATACCGATTTTACGACTTCATAATCCATGATTTCTAGTGAAAATCTTTAGACCTGACTAAAAAAGTTCGTATTTACACATTTTTCTCAGATTATCCTAAAATTTGCTATATAAAATTTTAAAATTATACCCAAAAGAAAAGAACTTAAGGAGTTTTGTCATTTAGAAAAAAAAAAATTGTTGTAATGTCAAATCACCCTAAGTCCACAGTAATGATGGAATATAAAAATAATAATGAGCAAGGTTTGACTTCTGCGGCATCGCATTCAGGTAGAACAAAAATTTTAACTAATTGTAAATTAGTAAATATGACAGAAATAAAAAAAAAATTAGGAGAAATAACGGAAGGTATTGAATATTCGATATTTGAATGACTAACAACCTACAGTCGAAAATTCAATAGGAATTATAAAATTGGTTTACTTCGATATTTAAATAATTTAGGTACGGAAAATCGTATTTCTCAAAATGATGTCATGCTTATTTTTTTTTTTTTTAAAAAAAAAAAAAAATTCTATTCAATTAACTTTATTTATTAGAAAATTAAACAATTACTTCACTTTGTACTTTGTGCGAAACATAAATAAACAAATCGTAACAGATTGATGGATAAATAAATATAAATAAATAAATAAATAAATAAATAAATAAATAAACATCATCATCATCATTATAAAAGTAGACAGACAAACAATGAACAATATATTTGTTTTGAAAGGATAAAATAGTTTATTTGTTCTATTGTATTATGTTATGAATCCTAAAAGTAAAAGAATTCCTTCCTTTACATAATATAATTCTTTATTTCATCAGTAATAATAATGCAGTAATTATTAAAATGTGTAATAATGCAGTTATATAATAACAATAATAAATAATAATTACATTATACCCACGATGAACATCCTCATAATATATTGTTTCTGCATGAAAACGTGTTTAACGATTTCTTTTTTTTTTTCCTCGATAAATAAATAATAAACTTTACTTCCGTGTAAAATTTAAACGTTAAAATATAACAATAAGATTGCATTGAATTACGTCGCCGTCGTTTATTAACAAAGCAAACCAACTTCCGTAATGAGAATGATGATGGTGATTATGATTATTTTTATTGTTGCGTTCCTCGCTTTATTTTTTTTCTATTATTTTTTTTTTTTATTTATTTTATTTTTTATTTATTTTATTTTATTTTACATTTTTATTTTTATTTTTTTTTTCATTTTTTTTTTGTTGTAGTCTCTTTTTGTTATTTCAAGTTTTCGTTATTGTTGACGATCCTTTCTAATTTATTAACAATGGTCATAAAAAAAAATTCTCAAGGAAAATTTGATAGACATTTTGATTATATTTACAATTTTCTTTGATTGTTCGTTATAATAGGCACATACGTGTAATGTTGTAATGTGTAATACAATACTTACTGTATATTATACAATTTATTTTGTGTAAAATAGTATAAAATGATTTTAATAAATAAAATATGGTGAGTATAATAATAAGTACAATAAGTGAAGATTATCATTATTTGATTTTTTTCAGCCTATATAAACATAAGAATTAATATGAACAAATATGACAAAAATACAACAATATCATTATATTATATCATCCCTTTGATCACAGAACAATAGTTTCACGTTTACAAAGTATTAATAACAAGTAATTAATAGAACAGTTTGAACACATGCCGTGGTTATTTAATATTAATATTTTTATTTATTGTAAACTAGATAAAGTATAAACCAAATAAAGTATTAGATATAAGATCTATCGAGAAGAAAACGAAAAATACAAATGATAATAATAAAATAATAATAATAATAATAATAATAATAATAATAATAATAATAATAATAATAAAAAAATTGTGCGAACTTTTGATGACACAACACATATTTCGATGCCGAAAGATGACCATTCTGCATAAAGAATAATGAAATGGCGTATTGTAATACTTTGCATCTCTATATTTAGTATACATTATACATTGCTGATATATAAAAAAAAATACGGAGAACTTTCTATTCTTTATTATTATCTAAAGTATTTTATTATAATATTCGTACTTTCTCTCAAATATTTCTTTTTTATATTTTCCCCCATTATTTGTTTTATATTTGTAATAGAATTTATAAAATCTATAAAATGTTCCGAAATTCTTTTTGAATGAAATAAAATTTAAAAATTCTTTTTTGTATAATAATAACAACACAACAATTATACGTAATTAAAAAAAAAAGGGACAAAAATTCCATTTTTATCTTTTAGAAAAATAATAACCATTTCTTTTTTTTTTCGTGTTATAAATTAGAAAATACATAATAATTACATATTCTATTATACCTACCTTATATTACATATATAATATATATAATGATGGCCCTAACGCAACATCATAATATTTCTACGACCGCTGTTTCAACTGCGCCTCCATTACTCGATATGAGATTACAAACTACTCATCAAAAAAGCACTTCAAAACCAACTTCAAAAACCACTTCAAAAAAAACTTCAAAAAAAACTTCAAAAACAACCTCTAAAACTAACTCTAAAACTAACTCTACTCAAAAAATTTCTCAAAATTCTACGCAAAAAACGTCGCAGAAAAATTCTCAAAAAAATCAAAAAATTTCTTCTTCAGCAATAACAACAATTCCTTCTCCAGTAACGACAATTTCTTCTCCAGTAATGACAACAGCTTCTTCTTCAGTAATAACAACAGCTTCTTCTTCTCCAGCAATGACAACAATTCCTTCTTCTACTTCTACTAGCACCACCACCACCACTACTGTTAATAACTTTACTCCTTCCACTATTAATATTAATAATATTGACCCCATTAAAAATACCAATATCAATACCAATATTAATACCAATATTAATACCAATATTAATACCAATATTAATACCAATAATAATGTTGATAATAATATCAACAAAAATATCAACAATGTCAAAAAAAATGTTAACATAATTCCTCCTCCATTAACTCTTGATTGTTTAGAAGAAATTTTAAATCATTTATTAGATAGTCGAGAAACTCTTCATTCTTGTATTTTGGTTAATCGTATTTGGAGTCAACTCGCAATGCCTTTATTATGGTATAATCCATTCGGATCAAGTTTATGTGATGAACAAGCCATAAATATTTTTTATTCTTATACTTCTTGTATGCCTGAAGAATTAAGAAAAGAATTATGGTTAAGAGAAATTTATTTTGCGGAATCAAAAAAACCTTTATTTGATTATCCAAAATATTTACGAGGATTTGATTGGTTTAATTTTCAATCGGCTATAAAAGAATTGGTGGATAACTTTTGTTATAATGGATCAAATGGACAATATGAATTTAATAATAAAGTTCTATTCTTTGAACAATTTTTTTCATCGTTTCTTTTTAGTCGATGTAATAATGGTTTAAGAGTTTTAAAATTAGAATCAATTTTTAATATTGGTGATAATAGTAGTCTTAATTGTATTAATATGGATTTAGTAAATACTCCCAATTTTCGTTTTCTTTTTTCAAAATTAGAAAAATTTGAAGTAAAATATAGTAGTTATCATTATCATAATATTAATTTTGGTGGTAATGGAATTGAAAGTTTTTCTCTCTTCTCTACAAAATTATCAATGTGTACTCGAAATATTCAACATTTAATTCTTACAATAGAAGAATCTTCATTATCTCCACTATCCACTTCTTCTCCTTCTTCTTCTTCTCGAAATCATCTTCCTTTATATATTTGTGAAGCATTTTGGGAATTAATCGGTGTTCAAAATAATTTAAAAAGATTAGAAATTAATGAATTTTGGGATCCTTCAAATTCCGAATTATTTTTTTCTTTCTTATCAAAACAATCTCATTCATTAACTTATCTTAGTTTAAATGATATTTCAAAATTAAGTTTATTACTTCCCTTTTTATCAAGTTGTGAAAATCTCGAAACATTAGAATTATGGACAATTCCCAATCCTGATATGGAATCCCTTTTATATTCTTCTAGTAATTCTAAAAATCTTTCAATTAAAAAATTAATATGTCATCAAAAGAAAGGTGATCAAGAATCTTATTGTTTAACCATAGGAATATTAATTTGGATGTCGAATCATAATTTACAAGAACTTTATTTATTAAAAGCCAAACCCAAAACTTTAGATATAATTACTCAATATTGTCCAAATCTTCGTCGACTTCACTTAAATCTTACTACCAGTTTATTATTAAAAATTCTTCCTTACCTTTCAACTTTACCTTTAGAATCATTAGGTTTGGTTAATCAAGATAGATCTTCTTTAACAATTGATTTATTACAACAAATAGCTTCCGTGTTACCTGGTACCATTCGTAATTTAGAAATTAATTTCATGATGACATCTCAAGGATTACAATATTTTCTATGGACATTTAGAGGGAAATTACGAAGATTCGCATTACGTGGGGATAATTTCAATAATCAATATTTGCAAGTCGTTACTCATTACGCCAAAGCAAAATCGAGTTTACAAGAATTCGAATATTCAAATCCGGATTCATTTTCTGACGAAGTGTTGGATAATGCGAAATCTTTTATTCCCAAAATTCAATGTGTTTCATCATGATTTACTTTCCTGCTATTTTTATGTATAGAAAAATTTTTTATTATTTTATTTTATTTTATATATATATATATTTCATATATTATTTTTTCATCATGTAGCTTTAGTTCTATTTTATATATGCATATCTCTCAATATAGTTTTAATATTCAGAAAAAAAATCTCCTTCATCTCCTCCAATTATACAAATTAATATTATTATATTATTATATATATATTTTTTTTTATTTTATTTTTTTGCACGTTAATATTTTTTTTTTTATTTTTTTTTAGAGAAGAATATATATATATATATATGTATATATAATTTTTTCTTTAAAAACAAATAAAATTTCAAAATAATATTCTTCTTTTTTAATTGTAAATTGCATAGAAAATTATTAATTGTATAATTGACGACGATTGTAAAAATTAAAATGCCGCAATTAATAAAAAAAATACTTCTACAATAGTAACAATGTTGTCACCGTTGCACTTTCCTAAATAGGGAATCTTTTCCTTTATTATGTAATTTTGGCCTAATTAGTTCAAACATAAAATTCGTGCATATTACTTTTCAATATTTTCATGTTTTATGTTTTGTTTAGGTTACCCAAATCATGTTTACATAAGATGTAATATCTGGTGATCTATCTTCACATAATATCTGGTGATCTATCTTCATATAAGTCTCATAGGCAATCCATATTATGTGAACAACTGTTTGGATTCAGTAAGTCTTAGATTGGGTGCAAGGAATAATCCAATCCAAATCCAGATCACCCAATAAGCTAATCATTTATGGCAATGTGGTAGTTTTGATTTTGGACCATTTTTGCCTATTTAATATAGAGTTACCAGAACCAATTTTTAAATATTCTTAATAAAATTCAACAATCGTTATATGGTAATGTGGTGTGTATTTCCTATTTTTAAATAAAATTGTATTTGGATCATTTTTGTTTATTTAATAATGTCAACTCAATTTTATGACCGCCTATCAAACGACCTCATGAAACTTTTTGAAAGTGGGGTTAATTATGATATTTCAATTGAAGTTGGGGATGAAGCTCCTTTAATTGATATTTATAAAGTTCACTCGCTTATTTTACAATCCCGTAGTTCTTACTTTAAAAAAAAAATCGACGAAATTACTTTCAATGACGATCGTGACAAAGTATTAAAATTGCCAAATATTTCTGTTAAAATATTTGATTTTATTATCAAGTAAGTTTAAATAAAATATTATTTTTAGATTTTAATTATAGTTTTATATTAAATAATAAATTTTCATATAAATCATTTAGATATATTTATAGTGGAAAAATTTCGCTGGAACAATTAGAAAATTCAGTTATTTTTGATCTTTTAATTACTTCTAACGAACTTGAATTGGATGAATTAGCTGAACATCTCCAATATCATCTTGTCAATAATAATGCGTCATGGTTAAGACTGAACTTTACTCAAATTTATCGAACAAGTTATCAAGTCAAAAATCTCGAAATTATTCAAGATTTTTGTACCGATATCATTGTCAAATATCCCAATACTATTTTTGAATCTGAACATTTTCATTCTCTCCCTAAAGATGCATTAATTTCAATTCTCAAACGAGATGATCTGCAACTAGAAGAAGGTAAAATTTGGGAATATGTAATTGAATGGGGAATAGCAAAAAATCCCACTTTACCTACCAATCTAAATGAATGGACAAACGATAATTTTTTATCTTTAAAAGAAACTTTGAAACAATGTCTCCCACACATTAGATATTTTAGCATTTCGGGGGATGATGTAGTTAAAAAGATTTATCCATATCAACAACTTCTTGATAATCAACTTTTTTCAGATATTACTATAAAATTTATTACACCAAACCAACCAATTTCTTCGATCGTGTTACCACCGCGAAAGGTTTTAAATACAATACTTCCAACTAGAATTACTCCAATTTCTTTATCTTCTAATATTATCACTAATGAACATGCACTCGAAATTTCATCCTGGATTGATAAAAAAGAAATTCCATATATTGAAAATAATCCATATGAATTTAAATTACTTGTTAGAGGATCTAGAGATGGGTTTCATGTTAAAACGATTTATAATATTTGTGACAAAGTCTCTAAAACAGTTCTAGTTTTAAAGGTGGGAGGTACAGGTGAAATTCTCGGAGGGTTTAATCCTCTTGAGTGGGAAAATAATGTCAATCAACTAAAAAAGACTCAAGATAGTTTCGTATTTTCGTTGAAAACTGCGAATTTAAAAAATTCCATTTTAAGCAGGGTGGTGGGGAAGTTTGATTACGCCATTATTAATCATGCAAAGCATTCATGGTTATGTTTTGGTGATGCATTAGGGTTAAGACACAATTTGAAAACTGATAAAAGGTGTCATTGCATGAAAAGTTCGGCATATTCTAAACCTATTCGTTCCGATGAATTTATTAGCCCATCAAAATATTATCAAGAGATTTCTCGTGAATTTTTATTTTCAGTTGAAGAATACGAAGTTTTCAAAATTTTATCAAGAAATGATTTAAAGTAGCATGTATTTTTTTTTTTTTTTTTTCATGAATTAATTTCTTTATTTTCATTTTTTTTTTTGTGAATTAATTTAGTTGTTTTTTTTTATTGTATAATTTTCAACTTTATTTTTATCAAAATATTCCGGGATAAGAATAATTAACAAATTATTACTCGCAAATCCTTTAAAATTATATATACTGTATATATTTTTTAATTAATTCAATTAACAATATCATTTACTGTAATAACATTGGATATTTTAAATTTATTTTATTCCATTCAAATTATTTTTATAAATTTTATTATTAAAGTTTGTTAATTATTTGCAAAATTAAGTCTCATCGAAAAAAAAAAAATATATGATAAATGTGACCTAATGATTATCTTAAATTTTTTTTTACAAACAAATAAATTGACAATTACGTCTTACGTCTTGGAGTGAGGTTCCGTTGATTAAAAAAAATAAAGAGTAAATTATTTAAAATCAAATATTAAGGCAATCTCGTTTTTAAACACGAAGAATGTTGAGATTTATAAACAGGAAAAACTTTGCTTTGAAATTATCCAATCATTTATTGACACACAAACCATATATAATGCTGTATTCTACCTCAACTCAATTTTACGACCGTTTATCAAACGAGTTTACTAAACTACGTGAAAGTGGGGTTAATTATGATGCCTCAATTGAAGTTGGTGAAGAATATGCCAAATATTTATAAAATATTTTGCAATCCCGTAGTCCTTACTTTAAAAAGAAATTCGACGAAATTAATTTCAATGACGATCATGTCAAAGTATTAAAATTTCTTAATATTTCTATTAAAATATTTAACTATTACTTTTAGAAAATAGTAATAATAAATTTTCTTTAATTATAATTTTATGGTGGAAAATTCGGACATTGTTGATCTCTTGACTGCTTCTAACTTGAATTGGATGATTTGATTGAACATCTCAAATCTCATCTTATCAACAACTGCGCTTCATGGTTAATTCAAAATTTGCTCAAATTTATCGAATTTGTCAAATCAAAACCTTGAAGACTTCTGTAACAATATTATTTCCAAATTTCCTGTTACTATCCTTAAGTCTGAAAATTTTTTTTTCTCTTCCTGAGGATGCATTAATATCTATTCTTAAACCGGATGGCTTCCCACTAGAAGAAGCTAAAATTTGGAATATATTATTCAATGGGGAAAAGCCAAAAAACTTCTACTAATCTCGAAGAATCGACAAGCGATAATTTTTCATGCTTGAAAAAAACTTTGGATCAATGTCTCCAACACATTAGATATTTTAACATTTCCGGGGAAGATATAGTTAAAAAGATTTATCCATATCGACAAGTTCTTGATCATCAATTTTTTTCTGATATCAATAAAAGACTCATAGCGTCTAACTTTCCAATTTCTTCACGTGTGTTACCACCTCGAAAGATGTCAAATATTATCAATAATGAACATTCACTCGAAATTTCATAAAGAGACTCCATATATTGAAAATAATCCATATGAATTTAAAATACTTGTTATAGGATCTAGAGATGGGTTTGATGTTAATTCTATCTATAATATTTGCGATAAAGTACCAAATACAGTTATTATTTTGAAAGTGAAGGTACAGGAGAAATTCTTGGAGGATTTGTTCCTCTCGGGTTGGATAGGAATCTTCGATTTATAGTGTCTCAAGGTAGTTTCATATTTTCATTGAAACTGCAAATTTGAAAAATTCCATTTTAAATAGAGCATTTAATTATGATTCTGCTACTAATGTTGCTTTACGTTTAAAAGACAATTTGAAAAAAGAAGGATGTTCTTGTTCGGAGAGTCGAACTTATCTTAAACCAATTCGTTCTAGTGAATTGATAGCATCTTGGTGGTATACTAATGGTGTAGATTATTTCTTTTCAGTTGAAGAATATGAAGTTTTCAAAATTTCACCAAGAAAATGATTGAGTTTTATTTGAAAAATTTTCAAATAAGTATTGTTAAATATTCTGAGACAATAATAATTATTATCCTCGTTAATAAGTTCAATATTCATAAATCCATTAAATTCAAACTCATTCTAAACTTTGCTGTACTATTTTCTTTGTTAGTTTCGATTAACAATATCATTTTAATGTCATGTACAAAGCATATTTAAATGTTTTTTTTCAAATATATTTATGTATCTAATATAATCTCCACTCTTTTGAAATCTATATGCTATAAACCCAAAAAAAACTTTTTATATAAATAACTGATTCATGCCTGAAATTTTTATAATTTTTTTTTGCGTAGCGTGTCGCATCATTTTAAATTATTTATATAAAATTGGCGTTGAAATAATACTACACCATTTTTACTTTTCTTTCTCATTCATAAAAAAATTTTATCCATTTTATTGTCTATCATTTTGCAAAATCCATAGTCCTTACTTTAACAGAAATATTTATTAAAAGTAGTTTCGTCGAATTTCTGACGTTATTTAATAAATTTAAATATTACTTATGAAATAATAGTAAATTTACTTAAGCTATTTTAAAGCAAAATTTTCGAATTAATAAACTTCATATATTTTTAGATATATTTATAGTGGAATAAATTAAAAAACTCAATTATTTTTAATCTTTGATTGCATCTAATGAACTGAACTCAAAGAATTTGTTGAACATCTCCAAATTTATCTTGTAAACAACAATACTCATGATTAAGGCTAAATTTTGCTATTTATCGAACAAATTATCAAGTTAAAAGCCTCGAAATTATTCCAGATTTTTGTAATAATATCATCGCTAAATATCACAATACTATCTTTGAGTCTGAACATTTTTCTCTCTCTCAAGATACAATAATCTTTATTCTTGACTTACAATTAGAAGAAAGCAAATTTTAGGAATTTATAGTTCAATTGGGAAAAGCTAAAAATCCTAATTTATCTACTAGTCTCAATAAGTAGATAAACGATAATTTATTATCTTTGAAAGAAGATGCTTCCCATGGGATGATGCAGTTAAAAGATTTACATTTATTCATATCAACAATTTCTTGAACACCAACTTTTTAGGATGTTACTATAAAATTTATTACACCGACCAAACACTCAAAAGATTATAAACACAACACTTCCAACTAGAATTACTCAATTCCTTTGTCTTCTAATATTATCACTAATGACCTTATATTTAAAATAATTCATATGGATTTAAATTCCTTGATAGAGGATCAAGTAATGGGTTTCTTGTTAAAACTATTTATATTATTAGTAACAAAGTCACTAACACTGTTAACGTTTTAAAGGTAGAAGATACAGGAAAAATTCTCGGATGATTTAATCCTCTTGAATGAGCTAATAACATCGATCATCTAAAAAATGCTTCGTGATTTCGTTGAAAACTGTGATTTTAAAGTAGGGTGATCATCTGGAAATTTTTTTAGGCGTAATTTTATGACATCTACGCTATATTTTACAGTATTTATACGAACCGTTTTGACTGTAAGCCGTAATATCTCGGTGGATATCGGTTCTTACAGGGATTAAACACATAATCTTGTAATCCAGAACCAGGGCTTTTGATCGCAATTTCCCATTAAGATATTCTTATCTCGAAAGTCCTGGTTCTGGATTATAAGATGATATATGTTTAATCCCTGTAGAACCGATAGCTGCCGAGAAATTTCTGGTTAAAGTCAAATGGCCCTGTATAGATACTATAAAATAAACGTTACGATGTTTTATTGTGACATTATTAATTATCCAAAGCATTCATGATTACGTTTTGGTGATGTGATGCTTTAGGTTTAAGGCATAATTGAAAACTGGAAAAGGATGTCATTGCGTAAAAAGTTTAGCAAATTCTAAACCTATTCGTTCTGATGAATTTATATCCATAAAAATTTTAACCAAGGAATTTCTGTTGAAGAATGAGGTTTCCAAAATTTTACCAAGAAATGATTTTAATTAGCATGTATTCCTTTTTTATGAATTAATTTTGATAATTTTTTTATTGTATAATTTTCAACTTTATTTTTGTTAAAATATCCCGAGATAAGAATAAATAACAAATTATTACTCGCAATCATTTGTTAACAATATCATTAATCTATTCATCAGTAATGAAAGTTAATAATTTGCAAAAAAATATAATTAGACTCTTCAAAAAAAGTATTCTTTTAGTCTAAAAAAAAATAACTGATGAATTCAATTCTTTGAAGAATGTGACTTAGGACAATTTAATAAATGAAATATTCGATGATATTTACAAAGATACAATTTAATTTAATTATCTTAAATTTTTTTTATATTTATACAACTGACAATTACACAAGAAGAAATTTATTTAAAAGCATAGATTAAGGCAACCTTTTTCCTATCACTTTTTAACACGAAGAATGTTGACATTAATAAACAGAAAAGACTTTGCTTTGCACTTATCCAATCATTTATTGATACACAGACCATATATAATACTGTATTCTACCTCAACTAATTTTTACGACCGTTTATCAAACGAATTTACTCAACTTCGTGAAAGTGGGATTAATTATGATGCTTCAATAGAAATTAGTGAAGAATATGCCAATATTTTTAAAGTTCTTTCAATTATTTTGCAATCCCGTAGTCCTTACTTTAAAAATAAATTCAACGAAATTACTTACATGTCAAAGTATTAAAATTTCCTAATATTTCTGCTAAAGTATTTGATGCTGTTATTAAGTAAGTTTAAATATTACTTTTTTAGAAAATAATAATAGTAAATTTATTTTTAATTATAATTTTACATTAATCATATACATTATTTAGATATATTTATGGTAGAAAATTTTCATTGGATGAATTAATTGAACATCTCAAATCTCATCTTATCAACAACAGTGCTTCTTGGTTAAGTCTAAAATTTGCTCAAATTTATCGAGCAAGTAATCAAGTCAAAAACCTTGAATACTTCTGTAACAATATTATTTCAAAGTATCCTAATACTATCTTTGAATCTGAAAATTTTAATTCTCTTCCTGAAGATGCATTAATATCTATTCTTAAACGAAATGACTTACAATTAGAAGAAAGTAAAATTTGGGAATATGTAATTGAATGGGGAAAAGCAAAAAATCACACGTTACCTACTAACCTCGGTAAATGGGCAAGTTGTAATTTCTCATCTTTAAAGGAAACATTGAAAGGATGCCTCCCACACTTTAGATATTTTAACATTTCCGGAGAAGATGTAGTTAAAAAGATTTATGCCAATTTCTTCACGTGTGTTACCACCTCTAAAGATTTTAAATGTAAACATTCCACCTGGAAATGCATCAACTCTTTTATCTTCAAATATTTTGACTAATGAACATGCACTAGAAGTTTCATCATGGATTGATAAAAAAGAAAACCCCGTATATTGAAAATAATCCATACGAACTTAGATTACTTGTTAGAGGATCTAGCGATGGATTTGATGTCGAAACTATTTATAATATTTGCGATGATGTATTAAATACAGTTATTATTTTGAAAGTTAGAGGTACGGGAGAAATTCTTGGAGGATTTAATCCTCTCGAGTGGAGTAAGAATCTTAATCAATTGAAACAGACAGAATATAGTTTTGTATTTTCATTGAAAACCGCAAATCTGAAAAATTCTATTTTAAGTAGGGTGAAAGCTCTGTCACGCCATTTATAATTATACAAAGGTTTCACATTTGGCTTTTAAAGGTGCTTTAAGTTTAATTGGCAATTTGAAAACTGAGAAAAGATGTTATTACAAGGGTAATTCAGCATATTCCAAACCAATTCGTTCTGATGAATTTATTAGTCCATCAGGCAGTGAATCGAATATTTTCTATAAATTTTTATTTTCAGTTGAAAAATATGAGGTTTTCGATATTCATTGTTTAGACATTAAGTTATTTGTTATCGTTGCGTCGTTTTTGCATAATTTTCAAATAAAAACTATTTTTTTTGTCTAAATATTCTGAGGCAAGAATAATAGTTATACTTGTTAAACAAATTAATTACTCGTGATCCATTAAAATCAAGCTCTAATATTATTTATTGTAATAAAATGAATATTTTAAATTGATTTTTAATATATTCAATTAATTCTTATGAAATGTTATTTGAAATAATCAAATTTCATTTAAAATAAGTTTGGAAATAAAAAAGAATTTTACTCTTTTCTCATGAATTATCACTTGCATAGATTGTCCTGTCATTTTGTAAAACAAAACAGTTATAAAAATTTATTCAATAAATGATTCCTTATTATTTATTTGTTAAAAAATGGATACTCGATTTTACAACCGTTTATCAAACGACTTCTTGAAATTGTTGTTAATTATGATGTCTAATTGAAATTGTTGAAGAAGATGCCAATATTTATAAAGTTAAATTATTTTACAATCAAAGCCTTTAAAAAGAAATTTGATGAAAGTATTTCAATGTCGATCTTGTCAAAGTATTAAAACTGCCGAATATTCCTGTTAAAGTATTTGAAGTTATTATTAAATAAGTTTATAAGAGGGTATAAATAATAACTTTATTTTGGATTATTTTAATTAAAATTTTATAATAAATAAGGTATTTAGAAATATTTGTAATGGAAAAGTTTATTGGAAAAATTGGAGAATGCAATCATTTTTGTCAATTTAATTGTTTTTGATGAACTTGAATTGAGTGAATTAGTTGAACATCTCCAAGCAAATTTTGTAAACAACAATGCTTGGAAAATTATGAAGTTAAAAACTTTAAAATTATTTGAGTTTGTGATAATATTATCGCCAAGTATTCTAATCCTATCTTCGAGTCTGAAAATTTTTATTCTCTTCCTGAGGATGCAATTAATTTCTATTCTTAAATAGGATGGCTTGCAATTAGAAGAAAGTGAAATTTAGAATATATAATTGAATGGGGAAAAGCAAAAAAAAGAATCACTCTTTGTTTACTAATCTCGAAGAATGGACAAGTTATAATTTCT